GGGGGCTCTCTGGATGGATTGGGGGAAGTTTGTGGATGTGGAAGGATTGTGTAGGTGTGTGGGTACTGCTTGGGAAGGGCCGGACCCCCATCTATGTCCTGCATTGCACACAGCTCCCCCAAAGCAGCAACAGCAGCAGCAGCAGCTGCTGGGCTGTTCGTGGCCCACTGTTGGCAAAGACCCCCAATGGTGCACTGCCACCTCAGACCTGGCAGCTGCACGTGGTGCCAGCCCACTCCACTTGCATGTGCCATCAAACAAAACCAGGCCTCTCTTGCTGTCCCCCACAGCTCCCGGCACCGCATGCAGAAGCCACACACCTTCAGGCCAGGCTGGTTACTGCCTCCATATGCTCTGCACACCGTCAGGCTGGGCCAGCTCCATGGAGGCAGGACCCTGGCCCAGCACAACGGCGCACAGCTTCTGTGTGCAGTGCCAGGAGTCCTGCATGACAGCAAGAGTGGCCCGATCCTGTCTGAGGGCACATGCCAGCAGCCAGGCCAGCGCCATGTGCAGCTGCCAGGTCTAAGCCAGCACCGCGCCGCACCACTGGGGGTCTCTGCTAACAGTGGGCCATGAGAGCCCCAACAGCACTGCTGCTGCTGCAGGGAGGGGGGGTTTGTGAGCCATGCGGGGGGCAGGCAAGGGATCCATCCATCCCTCCCTCCCGACCAGTCTCCCTCACCCCCACAGACCCCCTGCCCCCACAGTCCCTCCACCGCCACATCCCTACTTACCTGGAACAGAGCCTGGGTCTGAGCTGCTGCTGCAGCCTTGCCTGGTCCTATTTTCCCCAGCATGCTGAGGTAGTGTGCTGGAGCAGTAGGGGCATGCAGCAGCCATAGAGACACTCTGGCTGGGTGCCACAGCATCTCCTTGGAGGACCCAGCCTCTATTTGCCTCTGGACATGTTCCAGGAGTGTGTCCTGTGCTGCTTTTTTTCCAGCATGTTTTTTGGGATTTTTTTATACTGGGATTTCCCGGTATCAAACCTAGAGTCCGCGCTGCATATATGCAGGGCAGGGAACTTTTGTTCATTCCTAACATGCCTCTTGCACTTTGGGATGCCACAACAGGCATGTGCTTGGTCATCTGGACATGGCCTGTGTATTTAAAGTAAGCAGTTATATTAATTTAATATTTGTAATTTCAAATGGTTCTATTCATTATAGGTTTAGCACCTTACTTCTATTTAGAAAGGACATATCTAAAAACAAACAAACAAACAAACCCCCTTAAAACTAAATTCACAAAGAGGTTCAAAAATAATTCTTACTCCCATTTAATCATTCCAGAGGGAGAACTGACATATTCTAACTTCCCCATGAATTTTAATTAGGTTTAGAATAAAGTGGCATTTTTATTTGGTCTATGTTTTGTAGCTGAAATTAATTCAGATATAGTCTTCAATTTCGTATTGTGCTATTGAAACAACTTTTTATACTTCATCCATTTTTAATATGATAACATCTCTGGTCCATTCTCCTCTTTTCATTTGATTACCGGGTCTCTCTTCTTGTAAGTGCTCTTTTTGCAGTGTTGCAGTAAAATGCACAGTACTAAAAAGCAAACTAGTAGCTGAATAACGATACTCGCACACACAAAAGTGTCAATATCTGGGAACTCTTCTCTAGAAAAGCCAGTGCCTACACTTTTGTAAAGATTCCTCTGCAACTGTAATAGCATGCACCAAGAAGCGCGAGTGCCTTTTCCTTTACTGTGTTTATACAAGAACAATGGTCTACCAAAGCCTACTTGTGGGTATTTGATACATTACACAGCGGGGATGAAACCTGACACTGAATTAAAAACTGGGACAGCGCAGTTGATTTTTGTAAACTTATGAAACCAAACTCTGAAGGTCTTCTCCTCTGGGACTGAAAGGCCTTTAGTCTAAGATTTGATATTTATTACACTGGCAAAGTCAATTCTGCCTCTGACAGAAACTGATTTCTCCTTGGCTTTTTATTTCTGCCTTGGGTGTATTTAAAAAAAAAATTCTAATTTACATTTTTGTTTCTCATGTACTTTAATTAATCCGAAATATAATTTATACCAACTTCCTTCATAAGAACCTTCTAGAGAAGAAGCAGCCTGAGGGAGACAGAGCTCAAACAGGAACAAGATTGTATTTTACATCTTTAAAAGTATGTCCTTTTTTGTATAATTGCATAGTATTAAAGACAGAGAGGGATACTTGTCTGCTTTCTCATTTCCCATGCTGTCAGTGAAGGAGGTCATGACCCTATAGCTTTTTACCTCATAGTTTTTAATTTTTCATCTTGGTTTTCAGGAGGGGGAACCAAATCCATCTGGTTTTTGATTTCACAAGGTCATGAGTCACAAGAAAAAAAAATAACTTGGAAAAATGCAGACAATATAATCTTCTCTCAGCATATCAGTTATACAGGATTATACAGATTACTTTGTTAAACAAAATAAACACAAGGAAGTAAAAAAAATTCTCTCTAACCCCAAACAGCAACAGAAAAATGGATGCTGCATTGCAAGCATTTTTTCTATCTATATATCTGGTCTTTACCTGAACTCTGCCCTTTCAAAATAGTACATTACTCCAAGACTTACATTCAAAAGCCTTGAATTTTTGTTAACAAAGAAATGAAATCCTGGTCCCGCTTGACTGCGAGAATGCAGTCAGGATTTCATCTGAGGTAGATAGTGAAGGCATCTCCTCACACGGCAGGTGGAAGGCAGTCAGTGAAAACAGCAGATGCCACATACACTGCCTAATGCCATGGCTTAAAGACAGCAAGAAAGTGGAACTGTGGTCTTCAAGTGCCCTGCCTAATATTGGGAAGTGTCACTGGTGATTTCGTAGTCCCAACTCAATTAAGTATATATTTGATGTAAACTACATGCATTTCCCTAGTCCAAGAAGGAGAGGAGTGTCATAGACCCAGTGCAGCATAAGCAAGGGGAATTTGCAGTCAATTGTAGGCCTCAGCATTCTGCCAACACATTTTTCTAAAAAGAAATCTCCATAAGTTTTTCCTGTTTTTCAGGGAGACCTTTAGAGGAGTGCGCTACCTGCATTACAAGGAGATATGTCGACTGCTTTGGCAGATCTACACCTGTGAAGATATATGGGAGGATGTGCAGTGATGCCATAAAGAGAACAAGACTTCATTAAAGCCGGCTAAAATTGCATCTACCCACCTGAGTAGGAAAACAAGCATGTTTTTATTTTACCCCAACAAACCTAACAAAGCTGCAACTCTGAGAACTAAAATATTATTTACTTATTGCTTTATTGATATTGCAATAGTACCTAGGAACCCAGTCATGGACCAAGACACTAGTTCTTAGGCACAGCCCAAACATGTCAGTATGGCTGTCTTTGTCCAAAAGAGCTTACAGCCAAACTAATATCCTCAAAGTCAGAAGTTTGAAACTACAGCTAGGTCTCCTATTATCCATGTGTATTGAAACATAATTAATCTTTCTTCAGAATGAACTTCTCGAACTCAAACTGGATGAGTAGGATTTCCCATTGGTCACAGTTCTTCAGCACAAAAGAAAAGGTAATTGTCTGAAATGTGGCATTAGAACGGAAACTCTTAGCAATCGTAAGTATGCCTTTCACTACCAGTCAACTTGATAATATTTCATCAGAATCCCTTGAGGGGTTTAATGTGTCATAACACAAATCAGTACCTATTCAGTGTCCTTATGCATCTCATTGCAAAACTAGAAATTTTCACTCAAGGAAACAAGTCAAACAACACTTATTTCATCAGAGAGCTAATGTTTCATGTATTTCTCTAGGAAAATCTCAATATAAAACATAGTAACTAGCAGGTCTGAGATTTATTTAAAATTAAAAAAAATTTAATCTAACAAGTACCCTCCAAGTACCAAAAAGCAGCAACAAAAAGGGTGAATAACACTGTACATCTCTCACTCCTGATTCTGTTTCTTTAACTGTTTCAGAATCTACAAGCAAATCAAGTTCTTGTGGACTGTGTGCAAGCATACACAGCTATTAAGCAAAGTAACTATAAGTAAAAGACAAAAACACCACCAAATTAAAAGTGAAATTGCCAATTAGTGTGTAAGGCCCCCTCATTACACTTGGCAAATTGAATGTGAAACCCAGTGTGGCAGGCAGGGTAGGAAAAAAAAGAGAGACATTACAAGAAATTGATGGGCCATATTCTCAGCTTGTGTAATATTATGTATTTGAAATGCAAGTCCACTGCAGTCAATGGAGTTATAATTTACATCAGCTACATCTAATGCCTGAACTGTTTGTCTGTATTTGGGAACTAACACTTGTAAACAAAGAACTTTTCTTTTTTTTAATTAACACAAACAAAAAAGCATTAACATCTAACACCCACATCAACACTGTCCTTGACAGGAAAAGAACATTTTCTAGAAAGAGTGTCAAGGAATTGCTAAGGCAGGCTAGCCTCACAAGGAAGGGACACAGAATATCTCATGACGAGATGCTTATAGAGTTCCCAAACAAGGGACCAACAATAGATACTGAAATAGGCCACATAATCGTTGTCTCCACTAATCTTCAAGGGAAATATTTCTTTTTATTTCCACAAGCCTCAATCAATCAGTGGCCATTTCATGAAAAGTAAATCCTATTTCCAGATCCTTATGTCCTAAGGGCTGTACACATAAGCGATCACAGACTTAGTATCTCCTGTATACCCTGAGGCCTGAATTTCTTTGCCTTTTCAAATGTTTGCTTCTAAATTCTAAGTATTGAGGTGTTGAAGCAATGAGGACTGAACTACTTTCATTGTACTTATTCTCTCTCATGGGATTTGGAGTATACTTTTTTTCTACTTGCTCCTTTTAATCAAGCATTATGGTGACAATAATCAGTGCCTTAGCCTTGGAGAATAATTTACAAATATCTACAATGAAGTAGGTGTGTCTAAGGAATGGGTAAAATCAATGAAACATCTGTCTGACATTCCTACAATGTTATAAAAGAGACTTGAAATTAACTGCTTTCCTACCAAAGTCTGCCAGCTTTAACTCCCCTGTGTCACTGATCAGAAGATTCTGTGGTTTCAGGTCCCTGTGCAAAATGTAACGCTGATGGATGTAAGACAGTCCTCGCAGCAACTGAAATAAAAATAACTGAAAAAGAGGGAAACAAAAGAGATGACCTCTGTTAATATATGTATATAATGCACCGGTCTTCTACACAATCTAATTATCAAATTATAATAGAACAATATCTCATTATTGCAGCAAAATCATGATCCTCTCTCCCCAACTCCCCACAAAAATTGAAAACAAATAAAAACCTTTTCAAGCATAAGAAAAAGGAATAGATTTTGAAGAAATTCATCACCTATCCCTACTACATCATACACTGACTTTACCTGCTTTAAAACAAAATGAGAACAATACACCCACAAATGGAAGGCTCAGTTTCTACCAAATAGCAATTATATTCTGTTTACCCATATGGCCTTAGAGATTAGGTGGTAGCCCGAAGACAGATGTGTATCTTCACTAATTATAGAAAACAGTAATACAGCTAGGATGGTGGTGACAAGAGGAAATTAGGTTGGGGGATGAGATGCTAGAGCTAAGAAAAAGAAGAAATTAAGGATATAGTAGCAATCTCTTCCTTCACCAACCTAAAGACATCTACAAAGAAAATATGGGTAGGCATCTCTTCCAAAAGTTTTATACAGGATACTGTTGAATTTTTCATCTAAAGAAATAATGATTCTCATTGAAATTCTGAGAGGATATCTTCCACCTATTTTTTAGGTTGAATTCAGACCCAAAACCCTTTGCTAGTGCTCTTTTTAGCTGTGCACCAGATTCTATGTATGCATTTTGGAATTTAGGAAGGTTTTGTGCAATTTACTGTTATGGCCCCTACACTAAGAAAAATTCAGATTCAGGTTCTTTCAGTCTCTTTTGATAGGCACTTGCGACTACAGAATGGCAAATGCTATCTTTGTATTCACAAAAACCTATATTGCTGATTTTACAGGGATTAGCTAAGCATGCCCTTTTACTTCTTATGTCTGTTGGTACACAGGCCTTTCCTGATGATGTAATTTGTAGATGAAAAACTCTGGTTTCCTTGTGACAATGATCCAGTCCATTGTATGTCTAAGACAAGAAATGCAAGAGAGGGTATGACAGAATTACTCTCTACCTAGCAATTGAGCACTTTTTGAACAAAGATGTCTTGCATGCTTGGGAGAGCCGCACATGCAAAACCCCAAAATTTTCAAAACATCAGTGCAGGCATGTGAAAGTCAGCAATTAGCTAGCAATACAACCTTTACATATTTAGAGACTATTTAAATGAGAAAACATTATAAATGAAGTTATGAAATCTGATTACAGAAGACAAGAGAATAAAGGTTGACATGAAAGGAACAGAAAATGTCATGCTACTCAAGCTGAAACAGATTTAATTACATCCTATTTTTTTCCCCAAGTACAGACACAATATACTGATGTTTAGCTATTTAGCCAGGACACAAAGAGCCATATCAATCAGCTTCTTGCCAGAGTTTAGCCTAACAATATGCTGAGGAAACGTAAGCACAAACTATTCTAACAAAAGAAAAAATAGCAGAGAATTGATAAATAACCAAAATTCCCTTTGAATTATAGTTGGCATGGAATTCACAGTACGGAAAAACTAGTTTTAGGGCAGGAAGCAAAACTGGCATTTATTATGGCCATAACATTTAGACTGTGCATTATTAAATGAGTGAAGTCATGCTGTGAACAGAAAAATATGATATAGGTTTGCTAAATTAACGGAGAGGTATTTTACTTCAAATATAAAGTATGCAAAGAAACTCCAAACATCATGTAATTATTACCAAACAACATAACCAAAATCTCTCGTTTAAAGTTTAAAAAACTGGCCTTTAAAATAATGCATTGGAATGACCTGAAGTGCTATTCCTAAGAAAATAATAATTTCACAATGCAGTAAATGGAACAAAACTACAAGGGCAGATTTGAAACCTGAAAACTTTCAACTTTATTCAAATCTCACACATGTAGGTTTTATGGTAAATTCCATGAGGAAGGAACTTAACTTTCTTGCCTGGGTAACTGTGGTCTTAACCATGTGTGCTTTTTTGAGAAAATACACACAGGAAAAGGGAAAGGCTCACTGAAAGATTTACAAGACAGACTTTGCTCTCTTTTTACCTCCTCCTTCCTAGAGAAGAGCTTTCTAATCTTCGGTGAGAAAGGTGGCTTAGTGAAACCCATGGAACGGGAAACAAGACTGCAACAGCTGTATTATGGAGTACTGCTTCTGATGCTTCACGAGCTGTCATCCTGCTCACAACAAAGCTTTCTCAGAGGCTTTCATACAAGCAGTCTCTTTCTCTTCTCTGCCATCTGTACTTACCCTACTCTGAAAACCAGAAGCCCTGTGTCAAAGAAAAATCTTAAGTTTGGTGCTGCCATTACAGGGAGTTGAAACTACAGACAGGACCCTAGTATGTGCCCTCTGGGTGACCTGGAGGCTTGTCAATCACAGAGCATGAGGTAAACCCATGCTCAGTTACTTCACAGAGCATGAGGTAAACGCATGCTCAGTTCACTGACTGCATGATGTAATTTGACTAGAAACTTCTCTGTGAAGAGCGTTCTGATTGGCCACTAAATTCTTATAAAAGGTTTGTGAGCCGCCACCCAGGGGTGGTGAGGTGGTGTGTGTGTGTTTTGGAGGAGAGACTGTGCTTGATCCTGTGAGCAGAGGCTGCCTTTGCAGGGACTGTCTCACAGGGAGAGAACGATCCTGTGAGCAGAGGCTGCAGATGGCAGGGACTGTGAGGCACAAGCAGAGGCTGCGGACGGCGGGTGGAGCGACTCGTCTTTTCGATCTCGGTTATGGAACTGTTTGGCTTCAATTTTGACTTCGGCTTACTTCGTTTTCATCTCCGACCTCGGCTTACGGACTGTCTTTTGGACTGGTGTCACGACCCCGTTCCTCGGTTCACTACGTTACAGTTTTTGTTGTTTGTTATCCCGTTCATGAGCTGTTGACCAGCCCTGGGACTAGCTAGTGGGCAGCCACACCTATCCCTCAGGGGGTAGAAAGCAAGGGCTTGCTAGTGAACCCCATGGGCCAACAGACCCCTTTGTTGTTCCTTATACTGTAACTGAAGAAATATCTGATCCTCCGCTTCCCAAGCGTGAGTAAATAAATCATCTTTGTTTAAACTTGCCGTACAGATCACACTCCACTGCCGCTAATCCCACCTGTTCGTATTCCAATTGCCACCCCAGCCCACTATGACCTTGGGGCCCGATTCACTCAGTGTTTGGTTACCCCAACACCCTGAAATAGGGTTAAAGAAACGCAAGTCACTACTAACTCTTACCCAAAATTCTAATGATAAATCAACCAAGTTGGCAGGGCTACATGCCACTTAAAGTGGCTGTCCTGACTTTGCTATCTCCCTACACCAGTGTGCTCAATTCCAACAATCCTGGAGTCTTAACCAACAGAGATTGTATGTGTAGGGCTCCAAGAAGCAGTATGAATTTGAGGCTGAACCACTACCACTTCCTAGCTCTGCCAGCACTCTAACTTTCTTCCATCAGGAAAAAGGCAAACAAGCCATAAATTTTATGGATGCTGTGAACCCATTCCTTTGGAGTCTACTACAGACCTCAGACCCAGGATCAAGAGCTTGACCAGGAGTTCACCAGGGAATTGGCTGGGGCTGCACACTCCTTGTGCATGGTTGTCATGGGAGACTTCAACTACACAGACATCTCGTGGGAAGAGCGCTTGGCCAAATCCGAGTGGTCGCAAAGCTTTCTCTCATGCGTGGATGAGCTTCATCTGACACAAGAAGTCAATGGGCCGACGAGAGGTGAAGCACTGCTCGACCTGGTTCTGGCAATGGGAGATGACCTAATCAGTGACCTAACAATCAAAGGGAAGCTGGCTGACAGTGACCATGAGCTGATCACCTTCACCATCCACCGTAAAGCTGGCAAGTCAGTCAGCAATACAGAAGTCCTTGACTTCAGGAAAGCTGACTTTGACAAGCTCAGGAGGCTTGTCAGAGAGGCCCTAAGGGGTCACAACCCAAAAGGCAGGGGAGCTCAGGACAAGTAGTTGCTCCTCAAAGGTGCAATCCTGGAAGCGCAAGCAAAGTCTATCCTGCCTCAGAGGAAAGGTACCAAAAGGGCACAGCAGCCCCCTTGGATCTCCAGGGAACTAGCAAACCTCCTGCATCTAAAAAGACAGACCTACAGAGGATGTAGGACTGGGTCCACCTCCAAGGAGGAATACTCTGCACTGGTCTGGACCTCCAGGGAGCAAACCAGGAAAGCCAAGGCTGCAATGAAACTCCAACTAGCCACAAGGACAACAAAAAGTCCTTTTTTACATATGTGGGGAGCCGGAGGAAAAGGAAGGGCAACACTGGACCCCTGCTAAACCAGATGGGACAACTGATGACTGATGCCCAGGATAAAGCCAACTTGCTAAATGGGTATTTTGCATCAGTCATTCATCAGTCCCACAGAACGCCCCTGCCCACTATGGGATAGGGAGGCCCAGGCAAGGGAGATTACTTACCCACCATCAATGGTGACCTCGTGAAGGAACACCTTGAGAGGCTGGACACTTTGAAGTCAGCCAGCTCTGGCAGTTTATACCCCAGGGTACTCAACGAATAGGCTAGCACCTGGCACGGATCTGTGAGAACTCCTGGTGCTCTGGTGAAGTGCCCGAAGAATGAAAGAAGGCCAAAGTGGTGCCTATCTTCAAGAAAAGGAGGAACGTGGATCCAGCAAACTATAGGCCCATCAGCCTGACCTCTATCCTGGGGAAGGTCTTAGAAAAGATTATCAAAGAAGCCATTCTTAACAGGCTGGCTGAAGGCAACATCCTGAGGGATAGCCAGCACAGGTTTGTTGCAGGTAGGTCTTGCTTGACCAATCTCATTTCCTTCTATGACCAGGTGACCTATCACCTGGACAAAGGAGAAGAGATTGATGTCATATATCCTGACTTTTAAAAAAAGTCTTTGATCTGGTATCCCATGATCACCTCTTAGTAAAACTGGCTAACTGCAGCCTTGGCCACACTAGGATCTGCTGGCTGGGCAATTGGCTCCGTG